GTTAGAAGTCTTACATTCAAGGTGTTGGCAAAGGTTAATCTTTCTAGAGGCTCTAGGGGGGAGTTTGTTTCATTGCCTTTTCTACCTCCGAAGAGGCTCACGACCGCATCATCCATTTTCAAAGCCAGACACATGGTATCTTCCAATCTCTCTCTCTCTCTCTCTCACTCTGATCCTCCTGCCTCCCACCCTTATAAGGATCTTTGTGATTACTTTTCGTCCACCCAGAATATCCAGAATCGTCTCCTTATCCCAAGATCCTTAACTTAATCATATATGCAAAGTCCCTTTGCCTTGTAAGGTAACATATTCACAGGTTTCAGGGATTAGGATTTGGACATCTTGGGTGAGAGGCATTATTCTGACTAGCACAGTGGGTCTGCAACCTTAACTGTGCATGAGAATCACCTGGAAGCTTTAAAAATTTCTGACACCCTGTGTGCATTCTGAAACCAATAACATCAAAATGTCTGGCAGTGGGACCCAGGCAGCAGCATTTTTTTAAACCTCCCCATATTGTTCCAATGTGTATTCAAAGTTGAAAACCACTGGTTTAGCTTTCTGTTGCAGTCTTATTAAATCTTTTATTTACTCTACCCCTAAGTTTGCTATATATATCTGAATACAGTTGGGGACATCCTATTTACATAGCCTTTAGCCAATAGCAAAGGACTCCAGTAGTTTTAAAATTACTTTCACGTATGGACTAGAGTAGCCTGATTGTGCAGATTTCTACAGGGACAACTGAAGGAAAAGTGACTACTTGTAAGACCAAGTTGCCCCTTACAAGGGAGTCTCTTTCTTATCTATTACATTCATGTAACTCAGCAACTCCAGGAACGTTATAGACTAGAAATGGGATTTAGTCCATATTCTTGTGTCTCCCCTTTTCCTAAGTAAGCTTGAAACTTAAATTTATATTATACATCCTAAAACCATCTCTGCATCTTTTCTTTTATCATGACTTCCTGCGTAAGGTTCCATCTCCATTTTATCCCAAGGTTTCTGTTTGTCCTTCTTTTCCCTCAAAATCCAACTGTTCAGTGATTCCCTGAAGCATTTCACAATCCTTTGGCCTTCATGAAGCCCTCGGGTGCTTAATTATAATGTCATTTGGCCCTTAACCTGAACTGTCTTTCATCATTATTTCTCGTTTTATTTAAAATTTTCTCAAACAGTTCGTAAGCTTTTTATTTTATTTTATTATTATTATTTTTTTGGCTTCATTGGGTCTTCGTTGCTGCGCGTGGGCTTTCTCTAGTTGCGGCTAGCTGGGGCTACTCTTCTTGCGATGTGCACGCTTCTCACTGTGGTGGCTTCTCTTGTGGAGCACGGGCTCTAGGCACGCAGGCTCAGTAGTTGTGGCGCACGGGCTTAGTTGCTCTGCGGCATGTGGGATCTTCCCGGACCAGGGCTCAAACCCCTGTCCCCTGCATTGGCAGGTGGATTCTTAACCACTGCGCTCCCAGGGAGGTCCCATTCATAAACTTTTAAAGCAGAAACCCTGAATTACACTTTTTTATTCCCATTAGAGAATAGTCTTGCACATAGTAGGTAGTGAGTAAAGGGTTGTTGATGATTTAAAGATTCCCTTTGGTCCTGGAATTAGACATCAGTTCTTTCAAGAAGATTTTCTTGTCCACACACAAAAAAGTGAGTTAAAGACTACTATTATAAACTATAATAGTGATAGTTATAAACTAACTCCAGAAGTTAGTTTCACACTAGATTGTGTTTGTCAGTCTCATGTCAGGTTCTTTGAAGTCTGAGCTTTGTTCATTGGTAGGTCTAGCACCTACCACAGGAATGACAAAAATCATCTCTGAATGAATACAGAGGAGCATAGCTCAGCCTAGATACTCAAGTTGTTCTAAGGTGTCCTTGGACTGTAGCACAGATGTGTAGTGGAAGCTGCAGGTATTGGAACCCTACATATCCCACACAGACAATACATGGAAATTTTCAGTGCCTCCTTAATGCTTTTTTTAAATTGAGACTTTCTTCTATCCAAAATGAAACCCTTTGGTAGACAAACTTTGGTAGACTAAACATAGATGATGCAACCAACAGATTGATAGCTCTTTACATAATTTATGTATTTTACTTTTTTCTCATTTTCGAGCCTCTTACTGAACTGTAACCATAGTCATTTTTATTCTAATAATTTAAAAAATATTTAAGAAATCTTTTACCTGAACTGCATAAAAATACTCTTAAGTCCAACACATTTAAGAGCATTCTATAAGTCTCTGAAAATGGAGTTGAAATAAAGATGAAATATGTAATATTTTAGGATCAATTTGCCTTTTGGCACCATGACTCCTTCGTGGTGTTTTAGACCTTATACTTTTTTCTCCATAGAATGATATGTAAATGGAGAGACTGTTTATCCAGTTGGATATAAAGATAATTTAGATATTGAAAGAACTAGAAGTCTTGAGAATAGCAATATCTTAACTATCTACCTTATATACCTTATGTCTACTTTTAGACTTTTAGTTTTCATAATCATTATTAATAACGATGTTAATGAAATAGAAGTCAGCAAAAAGGTCATGCCTTCTGAAAGTCATAGAATTGTACTAACTTAGGAAAAGCCAGCTAATCTAGCTTTCTGCTTTGATAACCCAGAAGCTGACTCTTGATAATAGCCTGGAATTTTCAGATCGTTAAGAGACTGATTATACATAAGGCTGAGGTGGGCTCCAAAATACCAGACTGTTAATTCCAGCAAGAATAGTAATGCCCATACAGACCCTAAATACTATGGTTTATGTAATAAATGAATGCACTCCTTGTAGTCAAGCTTCATGTGAAACTAAGAAATAATTAAAAGTCTCTTTATTGATTTAATCTGATAGATCACTTCGCAAAGACCTTACGTATTTTAAGTCTGTTCTGTTACTCCATTCCCTTTACGAGGATCAGAAGTTCGCATGGAGAGCGTGGAAACAAAACAGTGGTAGTTAAATCTCTCTAGTGTTAAGAGTTACTATGTACAGTTTAATCTGTCAATTTGGTGATAGATATGGTGTCGCCAACAAGACTGAGACTTTTCTAACTCTGTTAACTCCAGCCCCTTACTCTTACTACATACTTAGAGTATACTTTGGAGTAAACGTTGGTAATGAGATCAGAACTAAAGATACCTGAAATGTGCTGGCCCAGTCTGCTTCTCCTTTAAACAGTGCTTACATGGTAACCACTATCATTTCCTCCTTTTCCTCTGTTATTCAGCTGATCAAGACCCCTGCTATTGACATTTTTTCTTTAACACTTGCTAATACATTTGATCAGTTTACTGTCAAGTATGACTGGCCAGGGAGCATTTCTCTGTTGGGAGACTGTGTTTCATGTTGATTTTACAGTTTTAAGTCTTAGAAGGCAATCTGCATTGTTATTTTGGAGGTTTTTTTGTTTTCTCTGTTTTTGAGGGGGGTGGGTCACACTGTAGTTTTAAAGTTCGTAAAATAAACACCAGCTATTGTTTACTGAGTGTCTACTCCTAGCAAAGTGCTCTACAAGTCACTTTTCATATGGAGACAGTTCCTTCTCAAAAAAGTATTACGAGTAGATACGACATCTCACTTTAAAGGTGAGTAAATTGAAATAGAGATTAAAGTAAGTCTCACATGTAGTAAGTAGCAGAATCAGTATTTTAACTCCCTTTATTTTTTTCTACTGTGCTATTATATCTTCATAGAATATATTCAGCCCTTGAATACACTTTTCTTTTTAAACGTCTAACACTAAGAATAGTATTATTTAATGGTGATTAGAGGCCCCTTTTTTGGTAGTACATTTTAAGTTTAAAAATCAGTGATATATATGAAGGAAGTGATGTGGCAGTTAACTTTCCTGCCTCCTATTCCACTGGTCTAGGGTACGAATGGATGATTCTGTAAACACTCTTTGTTTGTTGAACAAAAATTAGGACTTTTTCAAGTTCAGGTCAAGTTGTGAATCCAAGAGAGGTTTTTTTTTTTTTTTAAATTAAAAATTTTAACTCTGTACTGCTTCTATGTAAAACTTTTAATGAAAAGGTTTTCTTATGTTCAACTAAAAATATTTGCCACTTATTTTTTAACCTCTGATAACATTCTCAACCAGACTCAAGTACAAAAAAATATTTAATTTTTGTTCAGTTATCTAAGTGCATTGTCCTATAGGCATTAGCTCATCAAAACAAAACATCCTTATTTGATTTTTTTCTTTTACTTAGGTATTCTAAGGAATAAATAAATCTGAGAATCCACATCTAAATATTTCATGGAACTGTGGAAATAAAACTGAAATATTTTTATATTCTTACCTTTTTTACTACTTGCAAATTTTATATTAGAACTAAATGCCAAAATTGGGTGATGGGGAGGTGAGAGAGAAAAATTCTCAAATGTTTCAGAATTAACAGTGATTGTAAAATTTATTCAGTTCTTAATAAGCTTTAAACAAATATCAAACTTTTTGTTCTGTGATCTGAGGTTTGCTGATAACAAATATTTCTGCATTTTATAATAATCTTACTTTTAATAAAATGCAAATCATTATAATGGCAACCATCCGTTTACTTTATTTTTTGATGAAAGAAATTTTAGTTATTTCTCTTCTTTTAACTGCCAACAGTATTTGCTATTCATAGATGTCCTGTCTTCAATAAGGTCTATCAAAGTGTAAAATGAGATGGGTATTTTTCTTTCCTTTAAAATGGAACAGTCTTTCATTATGCAGTGTTCTTAGGTGAATTCTCTTGTTTAAGAAGCCAGAATACAAGAGAGTGCTATATTAGTGTATTATTCTTACAACAAACAAGCACTGTTCTGTTGCTACCTGCTTGGCCATTGTTTCTGATTGCGTGTGCTTTGCAGTGGTATTTGGATGGTTTCCTGCTCTCTGCCAGCACAAAAAGGCATTTCTGTTACAATGGCCCCTAACCACACAATAACGGCATTAAGGATTTATGTGGAGGTTTCATTATTTTCTCCTCTTTTGTTCCTTCCAGGATGTCTTCCAAGCGACCAGCCTCTCCGTATGGGGAAGCAGATGGAGAGGTAGCCATGGTGACAAGCAGACAGAAAGTGGAAGAAGAGGAGAGTGACGGGCTCCCAGCCTTTCACCTTCCCTTGCATGTGAGTTTTCCCAACAAGCCTCACTCTGAGGAATTTCAGCCAGTTTCTCTGCTGACGCAAGAGACTTGTGGCCATAGGACTCCCACTTCTCAGCACAATACAATGGTAGGTTTCTCACGGTCTATTGTGCCTACACTCACTTTGTGACCAGTCTACCCCTCTAGTAGTTTAGCTTCAGTCCTAGGCTTTGTAATTATCATCTACTTAATAGCCATACACAAGATTCACTCCTAACATCTTAAAATTCTTAATAAGTAAATTGATTCCAGTAGGGAGTATAAATAGGCTATTTTTGTTTTGTTTTGTTTTGCTTTGATTTTGTTTTTCAAGAATTCTGCTTTTGAGGCACTCCCAACTTAATTAGGGGAAAAACATAATATAAGAATAATGTTAAAGTAACACATTTAAAATTAGTCCTCATGAAAGTTAGGTATCATAATATTTCTAGGAAAATATTTTTCCAGATAAAGCTGCAACATAGTTTGAACATTTCCACCATGATAAATCAGTGCTTTTTCAATTTCTGCTTTGCCCAGATTGGATTCCAGTGTTTCTTACAGTACTGGGAATATTACAGAAGAATGTGTTTCAAAGAGACAATACTTTTCTAATGTTACTGCACTAATTTTTAACTCAGTCTCATTCACTCTGTTGCTCTGATAATGCAGTAATTCCCTGGTACCTCCTATTCTAGAATTTGGAGCTCAGGATAATTTATCTGGCCCTTCATCCTGGGGTCTGGATCACTGCAGAGGATTATGAAGCTGTGGTTTCATGGAGGAGAGGGAAGAAGGCAGCATAGCATCTTTGGCTGAACCTTAAACAGCAGACCCACAGACGACTAAATGAGGCCTTTAGGTTCTTCTTTGGAACTTAAGTGCATAGAATCAGCGTGCCAGCAAGGTAGCAGGGCACTTAGGTGTCAGTAAAGCCACCCTCGCCTTTTCAACATGGCTTCTTGGGTGGATGTCACATTTTTTGTGGCCCTTCTACTTCAAGGAGGTCAGTGCTGTTAATCTGAACCAGATCACACCAACAAAAATATTTCATCACACATCCTCACACCTTTAAGAACAGCTCTGATCCTGTTAAATCCTTTGGTTTTGTTTTGTTTTGTTTTTTGTTTTTTTGGCCTTCTCTAGGAAATTATTACACATCATAAACATGTTCGGTACTGAAATATGCCCACTTGTGTATGTCATTGCATTACATATGCAATGTGGAATTAAATCAGCAAGAAGAATCAGATTATCTTCTAATATCTGGGAAATAAACACTGTTCTTCGATAATTCACATTAGATTTAACTACTTCCATTCAACATTTTAAGCCTCATAGGTCAGAATTTCTCTGGGTATTTTTGACTGTGTGCCAGAATTTTCTTACCAAAAATAATGTTTTCGCTAACACTTATACAGCGCTTTTACAGATGTGTTGTTTCAAGCACGTGACATATATTACTCGTTTAACCTTCACAATAATTCAATGAAGTGTTATCATTAATCCCACTTTACAGATGAGGAGGAAACTGAGGCAACAGTGAGGTTTAAATAGTTTGCTCCAGATCACAGCTAGTAAGTGGGAGAACCAGGGTTTACCCAGGCAGTCTGGCTTTGGATTCCATGCTTATAAACATTATAAGCTCTTCACAAGAGTACACACATATTTAATTTTCTGATCATCTCTTATTTGGTAAATTAAATCCGTAATTCCTCCTTTTTTTCCCTCTACTGTGAATTCATGTTAGTCACGTGCAGTGATATAACTTCTTTGCCTCCTCTCACAAAGGTTAAACTAGGAAAAGAAAGGGGGGAAATGGTAGTATGCAGCTCAACAGGGTAGAGAGGTTGCATTCCCCGTTTGACATTGCATCAGTGCTCATGCTTTTCCCCTCTCAATATTTTGACCATTGCCTTCTTTCAGGGAGTACCCTCTGGAGAGTGCTTCTTGGTTTGGTTTTCCTATACTACTGCTATAAACAGAAACACACACACTTAAAGGAGTGAATATAAATAATTATTACTAGAAGAATACCAGAAAGATAAAGAAGAAATTATCTTAAATACTCAAGGATGGGTATGAGAAAAGTATATTAAATTACATACTATAGTTGGCATGAGTGGATGCTGTGATGCAGGATGTTAGTGGAAATGAAATCATTCAGTTTGTAATGGAGAATTCAGTTTAACTAAATGAAACCTGTGAACTGCCTACTTTGTACCAAGTTTTCTCTTGTGCACTATGGAAATAGATTTGCATAAGGCACAACTCCTTTCCTCAAGCAGCTTTATCTAGGAGAGAAGTTCTTAACTCTGGTCTGTGGATCTCCTGAAGATGACTGGAGAATTCTGTATGTGCACACATGTGAGTAGGGTTTCGGTTTTCACCAGATTCTCAAGTAGATCTGTAGCCCAAAAAAGACTAAGATCTACTGTTCTTGAAGTTAATACACTTGGTATACAACTGGTTTAACTTAGTTTTAGTGACATCAGCACTGATATTTTCTCTTACTATATATCTAATTGGCTTCTAAATTTGTTTCTGCCTCAAAAGTTTCTTGATTCCACCAGCTTTTCATCTCTAACAGTTGAAGAGTCTCCTATATGATCTCAAACTTCCAGCCTCTCCTCTTTCCAGTCTTCCTTTCAACTTCCACTAGACTTCTTTCCCTGAGAAAAGAGTTGGATTATTTATCCCGCTTTGGAAGCTAGTGTATGTCCTTGTTGCCTACAGGGTTTAGTCTAAAACTATCTTAGCATGAAACTCTCTATGTAGACCAGCACCAAAATATGGCTTTTGTCTCCTCTTCGGCCACATCCTGCCATAGACCCAGTGCTTCAGTCATGCAAAGATTTTCATATATGTTCATAAACATACCAGGTGACCTCAAATGACACATACTTATTCTTTCTAGCTGGAAAACTCTTTTTCATATTTTACAGTCCTGGTGAATTGTGTTTCTCCCACGAGACTGAGTTCAAAATTGCTTCTTTTTAGGTGCTTTCACTGACTTCCCAAGGCAGAATGGTTGCTGCATTATTCTTTTATCCATGGTACTTGTTTATAGCTTTTCTCATGGTCTGTATTATAATTTATGTGTTTACATGTTTGGCTTTCTACTCACTGTATTTCTCCTTAAAGGCACAGTCATACACACGCACATACACATTTGTAGTTCTGATACCTAGCATATAATAGATACTTAATTTATGAGTACTGATTAAATGGCAGAGTTTATATGGACGATTAAGTAGGAAATATGTTTTGAACAAAGTTGTTAAGGTGTTATTCATGGTGAATATGCTGATTTTCTAGAAATTTTAGAACTAAAGTAGAATCTACTACTGTGTAGAAAGTATGTTACAATAGTCATGATATATTCAGCTATTAAGCTGATTAAGGTATATTTTACCCATTTATCAAAATGATTGAATACATTCATAGAATTGTTATTCAACACATTCTTTGTATTTTTTTCTGGATACTAGGCAGTTGTCATATTCACATAACAAGTCCTTTTATTTTCAATAGTAAAATACATTCTTTATTTGTTTTCCTATTCAATATCTTTGAAAACAGAGAGAATGTTTCATGGTTTTTATATCATAGAGTTCAACTTATGGAAAAAAAAAAAAACAGCTTTCCAGATTTCATTGCTGGTTTATGCGTGACATTCATACTCCAAAGAGAGGTGTTGAGAGGTCTACATTTTGTATTGCCCACGTAGTTTAGAGACAAAGTAAAACTTTTGAGTAGTCCCTTTAATGATGACTTGAAGTTATAGAGAAATGCTTTCAGTATAAAATTTAGGTTAGAAAATATTTCCTGAGATAGAAGTTCTGTACATCTCATGGCTGTTGCCATATAAAGATTTTGGGAAATTAGGGTCCTATGTTCATATTCAGGGTATGCAAGTGTTAAGGTTTGGAATTGGGTCAGATAAAGATGTAGTTCTTCCTTTCTGAAGTTGTGTTTTTTGCCTTAATATTTTGGAGAAATAAGCTAAGTAAGAGTAACTCCCCAAACAGCTGTAACTGGTGTAAATACTACAAGTCCTTCTGTTCCTTCTATACTCACTGTTCAGAATGCACTATAGATGAACTTTCGTAAGCAGATTATACACATAAAAATACTGTCAGATAATTATAATTATAACATATATAGTTATATATATTATATAACTATTATATATATAATTATAATAATGCCATAATTATAAAATACTGTCAGATTTCTAATCAATATAAGATTGAGACACATAATTATAAATATGAAAAAGACTGATTCTGTTGGGCCTTCTCTGAAGCTCTCATAATTTTGCCAAGCAATTGATAGCAGCATTTGCTTCCCATATAATCTTCAGAAAGCTAAAAGGCAAGGTTGGCAAGTCTGGTTATGACCTGAGTGGAAATGCAGCCCTGGGCTTTATGTTTATGAAGGGCAAATCTACCCTTCTTGTCCCCTCTGCCTCTTTTTTTTAACATGAGTTTGGAGGCTGTCACTTCAGAGTTTCAGAGACAAGCAAGAGACACTATAATGCCTCTCACTGTTGTGGCCTCTCCCGTTGCGGAGCACAGGCTCCGGACGCGCAGGCCCGGCAGCCAAGGCTCACGGGTCCAGCAGCTCCACGGCACGTGGGATCTTCTCGGACCGGGGCACGATCCCGTGCCCCCAGCATTGGCAGGCGGACTCTCAACCACTGCGCCACCAGGGAAGCCCCCTGGCTCATTTTTAATGATAGTTCTGATATAGATGGATTTATTTCATGATGCAGAGGACTATCCAGAACATTTCCTCATGTCAGTCAATGTGATTATTTATGAGCACCAGAAGGAAACAGAGTAAGTCTGAAGAGAAATCAAGTAGCAGCATGAGAGGCAGCCAGGGGACTCTATGGTAGCCATGCTGGTTCTCGTTTTGTCTGGTTGCATGCTACTTCTGCTGGTTAGATGGTTGTTCTACTGTCAAATGTGATGTGAAATGAAAGTCTTGACCACCTGTGGTTACTGAATAATCAGTTTTATTTTTTTTCCCCCATAAAATGTTTTCTTTTATCTCAACCAAACTCTCTTTTGATTCAAGTTCCTGTTGAGTTGAGTGAACAGT